CAAAATTTGTCGTTCTCTTACAGTTTCCAACCATTCATTTCATTTTATTTTTTCTTTCTAATTTTACAACTTTGCAAAATTTCCTTTTAAATTATCAAAAGTTAAAAATAAAAAGAAAATTTCACATAAGTTATTATAATATAATAATAAATTAGTTAATATAATATAAATTAGAATAATTGAATGATTTATAATCACATTTAATATTATATGTCTTCATTTAATCTTTTTCTTCAAAATAAAATTTAGGATTATTTTGATGAGATAATTTATAACCTAAAATCTTCTTTTTAGTTATCCTATCTGATAAAATTATTTTTAAATTAATTTTATATTAATATTGTAAATGAACGAAAAACTTTTTCGGTTAATAAAATATATTTACACATTTGAAAATCGGTCATTTCATTTGCTTTTTTTCTTTTAAATTATCGCCGATTGAAATGAATAAAATTTTTCAGATTTAACAATTAATTTTAATTTGCAAATATTAAATAGGATAATTCCAATTTACAACAAATACAATTTTTAGGAAAAGAAAAAGAATAGATCCTATGCAAATATTTCATCCCATAATTATTTATAACTTTTTGATATGAAATGATTGAAATGTGAGAGAAATCTCATTACTTCGTCTTTTAATGAGTCCTTTCATTTGATTATTTACAACATCAATTATTTAATTTGTCTAAATTTTTTAATCAATTTTTTTCAAACAGATTTTTCACGTAAATATTATTCGATCGAATCTTTTTATTCGTATCATCGTTAAATCATTATAGTAAATTGAATTTGATGAAAATTTTGTATTATTCAATTTTTTCATTTATTTGGTGTTAAAAATATTTTATGCTAAATGATTCACCGAATAGAACTAATGACATACGTATATATTTATAATATTAATATATTTTTAAATATTATGTTATTTTCATTTCTTCTATATAATACTAAAATTGATTATTTAAAATTTAAATATATAGTTAGAATAGTTGATTGTCTGAGAAATCAGAAATGTATGCAATATATTTTGTAATTTAATAAATTTATTTATAATTAATTTGAAAGTTATATATCACTTCTGAGTAATTTTAATAATTTCATTTATGACTAATTTTAAAATTATATATTTATAGGCTAAATATTATTGTTTCAGTTATCAAGTACCAGTTGGTCAAAGCGCTGGTTGTGGTGCGGGTAGTTGTGGTAGTGGTGGTGGTAGCTATGCAAAACCATCACCACAAATACCACCAGCACCACCAAGCATTGGAGCAGGTGGCGCTTATTTGCAACAACCATACGCTCCTATCAGTAGTGGAGGTAAATTTTCTTATGTTACAATAAGTTTTCTCCTTGAAATGGTTTACAAAATTAAACTTGAAATGTGGAATAGATGGGATAATTTGATGGAAGAAAAAAGTTTAAACAAAAATTTGTTTAAAATTTCTGGATACAAATTTATTTGAATGTAAGGAAGATTGTATTATCTAGCTGGAAATACTAAAATATTATTGAAATATTTGATTGAGATTGTTTTTTGAATTTGCTATTAGGTTTGATATTTAAATTATACTTTCCCTATTGAGTATGATTAAAAGAGAGAAAAATGAAATGTGAAAAATTCTTGATGAAATTCATTTTTGTATTGTTAAAAACTGTCACTTATCGTTATATCATCATTTGATAACTCAATGAATCATGTTTCTCGTGATTAAGAATTTTTTCCTTCAGAAATGGTTCCATTAATAAATTAATAAATAATATATAATCAATGGTCTTAGGGTCTTAGCCTAAAAAAACTTATATGTAATAATTTCAATATTGATGACAGTAATAATAATAATAATAGTAATAATAATATATAATCAATAATAAAGACAACAATAATAGCAATAATAATATATTAATAATAATGATAATAATAGTTGATCATAATAATAATGATTAATAATATTAATAGTGGTAATAACTGAATTGCAATGAAATTTATAAATTATGATTTTAATGAAGTTAATATCTGATGATAGCTAATAATGATAATAATAATTAATAATATTAGTCAATAATAATGATTAATAATATAATAACTGAATTGTAATGAAATTTATAAATTATGATTTTAATGAAATTAATATCTGATGGTAGCTAATAATGATAATAATAATATTTAATAATAGTAGTCAATAGTAATAATGATTAATAATAGTAATAATTGAATTGCAATGAAATTTATAAATTATAATTTCAATGAAATTAATATCTGATGGTAGTAATAATGATAATAATAATAATTAATAATAATAGCCAATAATAATAATAATGATTAATAATAGTAATAATTGAATTGCAATGAAATTTATAAATTATAATTTCAATGAAATTAATATCTGATGGTAGTAATAATGATAATAATAATAATTAATAATAATAGCCAATAATAATAATAATGATTAATAATAGTAATAATTGAATTGCAATGAAATTTATAAATTATAATTTCAATGAAATTAATATCTGATGGTAGTAATAATGATAATAATAATAATTAATAATAATAGCCAATAATAATAATGATTAATAATAGTAATAATTGAATTGCAATGAAATTTATAAATTATAATTTCAATGAAATTAATATCTGATGATAGCGCTTGAAATGTGAATCCGTTTAAATTTCAATTTTCATGTACTCAATAATTTTCTGTAAATAAAATTAGCGACAATTTTTTAATAGCTTAAAGATAGAAAATAACGGAATTGTTTGATTACATTTCTTCCATCTTACTGTAAATGCTTAATAAATTTATTTAAGATTATAAGGAAAAAAATTTTTTTATAAATCATTTAGAAAACTTGTCAGATATCAGCAAGTGCTGTCAACAAGCAACTTATCAGTAAGCAAGAAGATAAAATTAAATTACATATAAAATTAACTTGACATCTTCCCTTTTATATTAGAAATGTAAAATTTCAAGTTTTAAGGTTTCTGTTAGTTAAAAAAAATTATTTTTTGAAACAAATAAAATTTCAATTTTGAAATGATTTTAGGAGGATTTCCTGCTAGTGCTGGCGCATTCTATCAAACTGCTCAAATTAGTCCTCCTGGTGCTGGCGCAGCTTATCAACCTGCTCAATTTAATCCTCCTAGTGGTGGCGCAGCTTATCAACCTGCTCAAATTAACCCTCCTAGTGGTGGCGCAGCTTATCAACCTGCTCAAATTAACCCTCCTAGTGGTGGCGCACTCTATCAACCTGCTCAAGTGAATCCTCCTAGTGGTGGCGGTCTTTATTCAGGTAAGTTATGCTGATTTCATTTATCATCATTAATCGAATAGCAAATACTTGTAGTTTCTTTTAAATTTTAATTTCAATTAATTTCTAATTATTTCAAAAATTTCTTGGTTTATTTCTTTCTTTGTTTTCAACTTTAACCGTTAAAAATCTACATATCACTAGAGAATTTATTACAAATGGTAATTTTAGGTGGTGATAGAGGAGCAGTTGGTAATATTCCTAACGAATATGGTTCAGGTATTGATAATAGTGCAAAAGAAATACCTCCAGCAAATATTGCTCCACCGTCACCAGAACTACCACAACCACTTCCAGAACAGCAAAGCTATGTTGATAAGTCGATGATTAGTAGAGAATTGTTGATGCCTGTTGCTTCACTGGTTGACGACAGTCATGCTACTGAAGGTAAACTTGATATCATCGGATAAGCTTGGTATCATGAGAGATAAGCTTGTTATCATCAGGTAAGCATTACATGATAAGGTAGGTTTGATAACTAATTTCTGAAACAATCAAAATAGGAAGATTTTTGTCATGGCTGCACTTTTTGAATGTTCATTTATCAGTACGAGGAATATTTTCATATATCTTGAAAAAATTTAGGAAAATTTAAAAAACGAAAAATTTTAGAAAATTCAAACCTTTGTGGGATATTTAAGAAATATCATCTAAAAAATGATATGATAATTTAGGGTCTTTGTTTTTCTTAAAAATTTAAAAATTCCACTTTTGGTTGTTAAGATATTGGAAGTTGATAATTTGGGAATGATAATTATAGGTAGAAGGAGATAGATTTAAGATAAATTATCAAAATATTCGCTTTTTTTCCTCTATTCCTCTTCTTTCTCTCTTGTTTGTTTGATATTTTCATGAAAGCAATATTAGCTGTAATCGTTCTTTCATGAAAACTTATAAATTAATAAAAGAAAAGATTAGCAAAATATTTTATTTGAAAATTTTTAAAACACTAATTATTTAAGTTTATTGATTTCTAGGTGATGTAATTTATTTCACTTAAATTTAATTTCCCATCATTTCAAGTATTCAATTTTTGCATTATTTGTTTATTTGAGGATTGCAAAATTTTTTTCATATTTGATTTATAGTGCTAATAAGGTGATAAATCAGAGAGTTCAATTAATTTAATATTTGATGCTTTTATCAAATTATTGTTTTAAAATAATACATTTCTAATAATAAGTAATAAACTTTCGATTGCTCAATATTTTTAATTCTTAAAAAAAAGATAATAATTTTAGCAAAACAAGATTTGAAATCGAATCAACAACCAATTGGTGAAAATGCTTATGAGGATGTTAGCGATAACGAAGTTGTACCACAACAATCACAACAACAACCGCAACAACAAGAGCAACAACAACAACCGCAACAACAAGAACAACAACAACCGCAACAACTAGAACAACAACCGCAGCAGCAACATCAACAACAACAATCGCAACAATACGAACAACAACCGCAACAACAACAACAACCGCAACACCAAGAACAACAACAACAACCGCAACACCAAGAACAACAACAGCAACCGCAACAACAACAACAATCGCAACAATACGAACAACAACCGCAACAACAACAACAACAATCGCAACAATATGAACAACAACCGCAACAACAACAGCCGCAACAACAAGAACAACAGCAACAACCGCAACAACAGGAACAACAACAACAACCGCAACAATACGAACAACAACCGCAACAACCGCAGCACCAAGAACAACAACAACAACCGCAACACCAAGAACAACAACAGCAACCGCAACACCATGAACAACAACAACAGCAACAATACGAACAACAACAATCGCAACAACAACAGCAATCGCAACAATACGAACAGCAACCGCAACAACAACAACAACAACAACAACCGCAACAACAAGAACAACAACAACAACAACAACAATACGACCAACAACCACAACAGCAACAACAACAACAACCGCACCAACAAGAACAACCGCACCAACAAGAGCAACAGCAACAATACGAGCAACAACAAGCGAGTGCAGAGAAAGATCAAGCGAATGCTTATGGAAGTGATAAGGATAATGATAATATAGCACCTGCAACAACTGAGAGCAGCGCAATGCTGAATAAATATGAGCAACTTGGATCCGGAACTTCACATAATGAAGGAGCAAGTTACGAAAATAAAGTTAGTTCTCAAGGTGAAATTTCTACACAGCAACCAGGAGCAGAATCAACCATTTCGGTAACTATGCAATCATTTGAGTTCAAACCAATGGTATAATTATATACTCTCTTGAATTCCATTCTTATTGTTGTAACGTTTTATTTGAATTAATTATTTGTTCAATAAGCATTAGTTCTTTTAAATTTTTATCATACAAATTAATTATTATAGAATGTTGGTTGTAAATTTTTTTCTTTAAATCGTATCATTTTTCTATTCCAATATTTTCTATTCAGATTAAATCGATTCAACTTTTTAGGAATCTAAAAAGCTAGAAGAAGAAAAGAGTGATAAAGGAGCTGAAATAATTAACGGATACGATGGAAACAGTGAAAATACACTGATCGAATCACGAAGTATTGAAATAGATGATTCAACATGTAATGATCCATCTTTAAAAGCTATTGTTGAGGTACATTTTAATTAATATTTGGCTAATTCATCATATTAATTTATACAATATTTAAAATTTTACATTTTTGATTATAAGTTTTGAAATTAGCTTCAAAAATTCTGAAAGAAATTTGAAAGAATTAAATTTATTTATTGTTAATACGTTTCAATCATTTAATTAGTTCATTTTTAACTCATAAAATCAATTATTGCACTAATTAATTCACTCAGTTAATTTAACTAGTAAAACTTAATTACAGGCATCACTAAGCGAGCATCGTGATAATTTGGATGCAGCACGAAGTATCGAAAGTAAAGCATCGAGACATTTTCGTGGACGATTTAATTCTATTGTTTCTGATTCCGAATTTGCATATGTAAATTGGTATGGTAAACGTAATTGCCAATTACAACTTAATGGAAGGCATTCATTGACATGGGAGGATTAAAATTATTTTTTCAATTATATCTGATCATAATGAAACACAAATTTTATCATTAAACTATCCCCAAAAAAAACTTTCTATGAACTGTTCCTTTTTTATCTCTAGTTAATCTATACGTATAATTAATGAAAAGAGAATTTTGACTTTAAATAATGCATAAAATTAAACATTTAAATGATACATGTTAATGGAATAAATAAAAATAGAATAAATAAATGGTGGAATAAATAAAACATTAGCCTAACCTTATATCGATCTTAAAATGACTAATAGAATTAAAATAAACTTATTTAAATTCCTCCAGTAATATTAAGCCATCAATGATTAACATATACACGTATACATATGAATATATGTTACAACGTTTTGCAACACAATAATCCATTTCATTGGAATTAATTATTTTATATTATTTATATGAAATAATTAATTTTAGAGGAAGAAAAGAAATATATTTGTCATTTGCTCATTAATCTTCATTGTTGGATTTTATTATAAATTAGATATTGTTTTATGTTCATTTTTCTGCTCCTTCTTCTTTTTTGTTAATTTCTATTTTTATAAGATAGCCTCTTAGTTTAGTAGGCTACGATGATATCACGTGATACTGTATTGGTTAATTAAATGCAATACTTTATTATATATATATATATATATATATAAATAAATGTATGTGATATTAGTAACTGATTGATATATTTTTTGATTTGATATTGTATCAGCAATTATTTTCAAATAGAAAAATAAGAGACTTGCTAAATTTTTTGCTTCTTTTTAAAATTTTAAAATTGTTGTGATCGGATAATTTATTGTCATTCTTTTAAGCAAGCATTTCAAGTTTAACAAATATTTTAATTCATTAAAAGTTTTGCATTAAAGATATTTATTCCTTTGTTTAGTTAATTAATTAATTGATCGGTTAATTAATTAATTGCTATTCTGTTAAATGTTTCTGTAATGTTTGCAAAAAATATTTTGCACACAATTTACCACAAAAATTTTACAAAAAACAATTTAAAATTTACAATAAACTCTTATATCATCATAATTAATTAATTAATATTTCTCTCTGTCTTATTATATTTCTTCAATGTTGAAAAAAGTATTTTTATCCCGCTTCTTTTTTTTTTGTAAAAATTTTACAAAATAATTTTAAATCTATTCAAACAATGTCTTCATATGATCAGTTAAATTGCTTAATGCTTCTTTAATGTATTTGAATTTGAAATTTTTTTATTTTGCTATTGCGAAAAAGAGAAAATTATCGAAATAAATACTCAAAGTTATATGACAAATTTTCGATGGTACCATAGAATAAAAATCATAGTTATGTGATAAATTTTCGATGGTACCATTGAATAAAGCTCAAAGCTAAATGACAAATTTTCAGTGGTACCATAGAGTGGAAGCAAAAGTTATGACAAATTTTCGATGGTACCATAGAATAATTCAAAGTTATATGACAAATTTTCGATGGTACCATAAAATAATTCAAAGGTATATGACAAAATTTTTGATGGTACCATTGAATAAAACAGAAAAGCAAAAACAAAAAAGCCATTTCAATAATACATATAATTATGAACACATAATAATCATTTCATCACAAAAAAACAGAAATTTCATTCACAAAAACAAATTATTGTGGTGGAAGAGCGAAAAAATTATTTTTTTCAAATTTCATTCTAAAATTAAAAATAATTTTTGGTTTCGTTCAATTAAAGAACATTAACAAAAAGATTGCATAATTATAGTTTTCCCTTTTCTCACGTTTCTCCCACTTTCTCTCGTATTTCCTCCGACCTGATTTCTCAAATAAACTATTTGTTAAATTTTTTCGCATAAAATCGTTGCAAAATTACTATTATTAATAAAATCACGTATATTTTATTCCAAATTTAAATTTTCCAATTTCTTATTTTTTCTTAAATATCATTGATTATTGTAAAAAAAAAGAGGAAAAAATTCATTCAGGTCATACAAATAATATTTGCTAATTTCATTTTCACCGTGAAATTTTTCAATTCAAAAATTTTATTTCATTCAGTTTTTGAATGAAATCGAATTCCGTTTTCTTTTCATTTGCATAAAAAAATTTTTATTATAGAAAAAATTTCAAAAATGAAATATTTTGAAATGGATTTATTGGAATGATTATTTATATCCTATATTTCATATATATAATTTTTTTTTAGTTTGATAATAAAAAAACTTGCGAGCAAAATTCATGAAATGATTAAAAATTTAATTTAATGCATGTTTAAATTGAATAATTAAGTTTGTTTATTCTATTAGCAATGGAGTATGTATACTTAAATTAAGAATAAAAAGGAATTACAAGTAAAATTTAAGAAATGATTAAAAATTTAATCAGATCGGTATTTAAATTAAGAATTTAATCTGATCGGCATTTAAATTAGGAATTTAATATGATTTGCATTTAAATTAAGATTCCAATATGATTTGTATTCAAATTAGGAATTTAATCTGATCTGTATTTAAATTAAGAACTTAATACAATCTGCATTTAAATTAAAAATTCAATCTAATCGGTATTTAAATTAAGAATTTAATCTGATCTGTATTTAAATTATGAATCTAATATGATTTGTATTTAAATTAATCGCTTCATTTTGTTCAATCTCTCTTAATAATGGAATAGAATGTATTTTTGATTTCGCTTCTGAAAAACGAAAAACAATAATATATAATATTTTTCTCCAAAAGTCTTATAACTAACTAATTAAAAATTCGAACATAAATGCTAAAAAATATTTATTAATTTATAAATTTTTATAATTTCTAAAAGTCATTTCTGTTTTACATTTTAGTTTAAGAAAAGTTATAAATTATTAACAAAAAACAATGGAAAAATTAATTTAAAAATTCAAAAAATAATTATAACAGAAAAAATAATATTAAAAATTAAGAATTATTAATTTCCAATATCATTAAAAAATTTTAAAATCGAATTATTATTAAGTAATTTTCAATACGAATTAAAATAAAATCGTCCAGATGAACATTTATAATTTCATATTTTACTTAATAAAATAGCAAAATAATTTTAAAATATTTCATTCAAATTAATTTATTAACTAATTTTTTAAATTATAAATTATCCAAATTTAGCGTATAAAATAAAAGAATTTTTCTAATATAGCCTATAAAATAATATATTGCTTAATTTTTGTTTTTTGCTTTCATTAGCAAATAATGCTTGAGAGGTAAAATTATTTGATGACCGATTAAAAATCCTCTTTTTTTGTGTTCTTTTTTTAGATTTCAAAAATTTCTTCAAAATATCCATTGTTGTATTTTTTCTTCAACGCATGATACTATCGTTGAAAACAGGAAATGAACGAAGGAATGATAGTTAAAATTTTGCTCTTTCATTGTTTGTTTTGTTTACTATCATATAATTATCGAAATTAATTTAAATTATAATTATGGTTTTTTTTAAAGATTATATTTGTTCTAAAAATATATGAAATAAAAGATGTGATAAGATAAACCTCAAAAAAACGTTATTATATTATCACTAAACCAAATTATCGCTAGTTCATTATCATTATCACAGATTATCACTAAGTTAATTTCTCATCACTGTGCGTTAAAAGAATTCACTTCGCAAATTGTAAACCTATTCAGTTCTTTTAATTCTCGATGCATTGTGATTTGAAAAAATAAGCTTATCAAATTTTTGGAGAGAGATGATTAGTTATCAGTAATAATGATAAGAAATTTTAACATTAAAAATAAACAATAAAACTAATTTGGATAAATATTATTCACCTTTTATTATTCTTTTGTTTATTTTATTTTACATTCAATTAATATGAAATGATCATTTAATTAATTCGTTAAAAAAAAGAATTGAGAAACACAGATACATAAATTTAATGTGAAGAAAAATATGGAAAACATAAGGACTAAATAGAAGTGGAATTGAATTAAATATTAATTGCTAAAAGTGACCTAATATGGGAATTGGATGGAAATGGAATTATAATCAAATACTAATTGACTACTAATGATAAAAATTGGGTACAATAGTGATATATAATTTTGTGACGAAACATGGAAGTATAATAAATTTAATGTGAGAATTTGAGACAAACATGAAAAACATAAAGACTTAATAGAAGTGGAATTGAATTAAATATTAATTGCTAAAAGAGACCTAATATGAGAACTATATGGAAGTGGAATTATAATCAAATACTAATTGACTACTAATGATAAAAATACGGAAAATTGAATAACATTAGTAATACATTATTTCATTTAAACTATTTGACCTCTTCCAATTACACACATATACAATTATACAAATATAATTAGGAAAATTATGCATTCGTTAAAATAGCTTTATCAACTGTTATCAGCTCTTAATTATATCAGCCAATAATTCCCCCCAAAAAAAATAATTTTATCAGCTTTATCAATTACAAGCTTATTGTTTTTCGAAAGAGAAAGAAAGAGAGAGAGAGAGATTTGTGAGTTTAAAAAAGATTCTCTGAAATTTATCAATTAACTATAGCAATATACAATACTATCAATATCTTAAACTTTTAGCAATTCTAAGTAGAGCATTTCGATGTGATACATCAGTGATACCAATATCAATGAGATCATTGTTTGTTAATGCCAGGAATGTTCCCTTATCAACTTCTTCATCTTTTAGCAAATTAACATATTTACCAAGACCTGATTCATTTAGTTTTTCCCATATCAAATCTGTAAATGTAATCAAATTTATTGAGTTCAATAAAATATGCTACTCTATCATTTTAGTAACTTTATACAACCAAATTAAAATGCTGTTAATCCTTTGATATGAAACATTTTTTTAATTCATATTGACCTCTAGTAATTTATCAAATTTTAGATAACTTATATTAAAATGTTTAAATTTAAAATTAATGTGTATTTAATTGCTGATAATTAATTAATATATAATATTCAAAACTTAAGATAGCTAAACTAAATTATTTAAATTTAAAATTAATACATATTTGTTGGTAATTAATTAATGTATATTATTCAAAACTTTAGATAGCTAAACTAAAATATTTAAATTTAAAATTAATGTGTATTTGATTGTTCGTAATTAATTAATATATAATATTCAAAACATTAAAATAGCTTAACTAAAACATTTATATTTAAAATTAATATATAATTAATTGTTGTTATTTAATTATTATAAAAATTTCACAAAATTACTAAAAATTTTTTCTACCTTCGGTAATTTTTTGTCTTTTTCGTTCATGATATGCATTATCATAGGTAGCAGCTTTTGTTGCTAATACATTGCTTAATTTATGTTTTATCCTATCCATATGATTATTATCATTCAGAGAACACCGCCAAACAAGCGTATCAAGTGTTGGTGTTGAAGTACTTCTGTAATTATTTCAATTATATTAATTATGCTATAAATTTTATACTAAATACAGAAACTATATTAAATATGTTTAGAAAAAAAATCGTAGTCATATTTAAAAACATTTTGCAAAAATAATTAATTATTATTTAAAATTAGAAATGAAAATAGTTAAATGATTAAGAATATATATAATATATTATGCATTATGTACTTTCTAAAACTAAATTTAATAATTTTTAAATATATTAAATATTAATTAGGAAGAAGTAAGCAATTAAATAATTTACTTTTTTAAACGTTCGCCATCTTTATCAGAAAAAATATATTGATTTAATGATGAACGTGATGGTGAATTACGATCATCATCATCATCTTCTTCACCATCACCCATATTATTACGTTTAATTGTTTCACGTGATCGACTACGAAATCTTGGAATGGTACCCAATGTATGCGTTGAGCAACGTCCCAATGATGCATAATGACGTGAAAGCATTGAAGTTGAATAATCTAAAATTAATTAAAAATCAAATTTAATAAATATCAATAATTATTATTAAAATTTAATTTCATAATTTAAAAATTTCCTATATCAGAAACATAACAAATTTATCCATTAATAATTAATGCAATAATTAAAATTGTGAAAAAATTTCAACAACCTGAAATTGATGTTGAAGAGCTAATTTCTCGACTATCATTATCATCATATCGATGTCGTCTTCTGCTACCATATAAAAATGCTTCACCAGAATTTCTCTTTGGAAAACGACATTCCTAAAAATTTTTCCTTTTAAAAAATTTCTTCCTCTCTTGTTTAATTTTTCTTAAATTGAAAATTACTGCCAATATTTTTTTAATTAACTTCTATCCAATTTTGATTTATAATTTTTGTTAAAGTGAAAAAATTGCATTTCCTAATTTACTAATAATATTTATTTCGGCAATTTCCACTAAAATGTTAGTATTTTTCCTTTTTGCCCTTTACTGGAATACATAAATTCAGGAAAGATAAATTTTAAATTCAGAAATGGTAAATTCTAAATTCAGGATAGAAAAGTTTTAAATTCAGGAAAGATAAATTTTGAATTTAGGAAAGATAAATTATAAATTCAGGAAAGATAAATTTTAAATTCAGGAAAGATAAATTTTAAATTCAGGAAAGATAAATTTTAAATTCAGGAAAGATAAATTTTGAATTTAGGGAGGATAAATTTTAAATTCAGGAAAGATAAATTTTAGATTTAGGAAAGAAAAATTTTAAATGATTTTGTTTCTTATTTCTTACATAATATAAATAAGCATTCCACTGAGCAATTGATAAAAAATTCCGATACTTATGATTGATTGCTGTATTAATAGGAAATGAATTATCCAACGATGGCCCATATTTAATCAAATTACTCTTTTCCAATTTATGTTTATTTAGAGTAAATAATACCGGTAAATTAAGAATTCCCTGATTAGCGCAATTCTGAAAATAAAATAATATAATTAGCATTTTCATTTAATTTATATTTTAATTAAAAAGTTTTTTTAATTGTTTTAAATTTATTTTATTAAAAAAATTTTTTTTAATTTCTTAATATTGAATATATTTTGCTTAGAAAGGATTGAAATTGTGTAACTGATTTAAAGATAAAAAGTTAACAGAGAGCTATACAATTAATTAAAGTAAGGAATAAATGAATAAAAATTTACTTACTTCATTGCTTAATTAGTTAATTACATATATATTTAATTAGCTACATATATACTTGAAAAAATCAATTAAATAAAAGCATAAATGAATAAAAATTTACTTATTTCATCACTTAATTAAATAATTACATGTATACTTGAAAAAAATCAATTAAAGCAAGGCATAAACAAATAATTTACTTACTTCATTATTTAATTAATTAATTAATTACATATATATAGTTGAAATAAATTAATTAATCATACTTCAGCAACAAATCTAGCAGCTTCAATATAGCGATGTAAATTATCGCATTTTCCAGCTTTTTCATTTCCAATTGATTTTAAAATATCATTAGCCATAATGAATTCTTCATCATCATGTTGATGAATTTGTACAAGTTTAAACAAATGCGCTCGGTTAAAGTTTGTCTTCTCCTTGCTATCAATGCTATTTCCAGTATTACTACCAAAACCAACAACATGATTAGATAGTTTGTTTAGCTAAAAATTTCATTATTTAAATTTATTAATTAAATTTTGTTATTTTAATTTTCAAAAAATATTAATTGATTTAGTTTTCAATTTTAAATATCAATTTCTTTCATATAATTTTATTAAAATTAAATTCCAATTTAAATTTATTAATTACATTTTATTAATTTAATTTTCCAAAAATATTGATTGATTTAGTTTCAAAATTCTTTCATATAATTTTATTAAAATTAAATTCCAATTTAAATTTATCAGTTACATTTTATTGATTTAATTTTCCAAAAATATTGATTGATTTTGTTTCAAATTTAAATATCAATTCCTTACATATAATTTTATCAACATTATCAGATAAGATAAATAATAAATATTTTATTATAGGCTTAATTTTAATTTTAAATAATAATTCCTTACGTATAATTTTATCAAAATTATCAGATAAGATAAATGACAAGTATTTTATTACTGATTTAATTTCAAATTTCAAATATTAATTCCTTTCATGTAATTTTATCAAAATTATCAGATAAGTGACGTATTTTTTATTAGAACACAAATATAGCCTATAATATATAAGCAGCAATCTTCCAATATTAACTTGTTAAATCATTCCGGTCCAATATTAACTTGTTAAATCATTCCGGTCCAATATTAACTTGTTAGATCATTCCGGTTCAAATTGTTAATTATGTAAGTTTTTCTTTTTTAATTTGTTATGTAAAATTTTAAACAAAAAAAAGTTAAATTTACAATTTTCGTCTTACTACTATTAATAACACGACTTAAGTGTTGTTGATATTGATAATGGTGATTATCGGTATCAGTATGTTGTGATAATGGTCCAGTAGGATGTTGTTGTAGTAAACAAAGTGAATCAACATTTATATTACCTGTAAAATGTTTTTTAAGTTTTTAAATTTAATCAAATGATAATAAGAAAAAGTATTACATCTGATATTATGCTATATTAATTATATTATTAATTATATTAATTATATTATCAATAAATTTTTAAACTTTTTTCATATGACTAAATTAAAAAATTAATCTTACTTTTTTTCCTAACAAACATTTTTTCACTCATTTCATTCTTATCATTTATCAAATTTATCACACAGTTTTTTCTTTTGAAATTTATTGCAAAACAAAGGAGAACGATCATCAAAATAAATTATAAAACAAAAAGTTATAAATACCTATAGCAAATGCATAATCGATAGCTGTAAAACCATCAACTGATATTAGCGAAATATCAGCACCATTGTTTATCAGATATTCCATAATTTCATAATTTCTAGCAAAATTATTTCCATTAATTAATTGCTTTGCAATTTTGTTAAATTTTATTGAATTAGCTAATGCTTAATAATTATCGTAATTAATGAAACTTATTGTATTAATGACGATTATTAATTAATGATAACATGTAAATATATTATTTTCTTATCTCGTCGTGATATTCGAGCTTGTTTTAATATCTATAATATTTTAATTTGGTATATTTTTATTAATTGAAAATTATATCCAAATTTAATGAATCATTTATATTACAAATAAAGAGTTACATTTTAATGTTGAAGGTGAGACTTTTAAAGTTGAAATATTTTTTGCCATTTTTTAAATGATATTTTTTTACAATAAAATTTTAATTTCATTTTCATCTACTATTATTATTAAACTATTATTATTACTATTACTATTACTATTATTATTATTACTAATATTATTACTATTATTATTAAACTATTATTAAACCAACTGATTATTACTAATTTAGAAATTTTAGCATCATACCCAATAATAGCAGCAAACATGAGAGCTGTAAGACCGGAAACATTTTCAGCAGCATTAATATCAGCAACATTTGATTCTTGAATTATTTTTACCTATTTAAAAGAATTAATTTTATTCAAACTAATTTTTCAACAGTGTAAATTGATATGATATTTCAGCAGTGTAAAATTTAAATAAAAGAAAATTTGTTCAACAATTATAAATGAAAGAAAATAATTGCTTACAATATTGATATCAGCCAAGAGTATAGCATACATTAGTGGTGTAGTATTTTCCGGAAATGGAACATACGGTAAATGTCGGCCAAATATCATTCGTATACCATTTTCATCATTATTATAAATAAGCTGTCGTAAATCTACTTCTTTTGGTTCTTCTTCTTAAAATGATATTCATTCATTAAAAAAAAAAAAAACTAATAAACAAACAAAAGAAAAAATAAGGTAACGGAATGTTAGCATGCATAATTTATTAATTATCTATTGAAATATTAAAATTAAAATTTAGCATTGATCATATGAGAATTTGTCAGATACTAAAGAGTGCAAAATTTTGAAGTTAGAGTTTTCACATTAAATATCAAAAATTTATTTGATTAATTAAAATCAAATAAATCTTATTTTGATTTAATTACTGATAATGGAAAAAAAATAGTAAATTTGCCTTTTATGATACTTTGAAGGGATAAAAATTAGAGGCTTTATTTAACTTAATTATAGTAGCAATTTATTAAGTGGAAATAAAACATGCAATGAATTTACCTTTTATGGTACTTCGAAGCGATGAAAATTAGAGGCTTTATTTTTTAACTTAATTATAGTAGTAATTTATTAAGTGAAAATAAAACATGCAGTAAATTTACCTTTTATGGTACTTCGAAGAAATGAATTTATCACTGTTAATACTTCATTTCGTTGTAAATGTTGCGCAAGTTCTATTGAAGTCATACCATGCAATGATCGAAATGATGGATTAACGCCAAGTTCAAGTAATGTACCAACAATTGTTGTTGCACCACATGATATTGCTGTTGATAGAGCGGAAAGATTTGATAATCGTTGAATATTGCCATCCAAATAAGCTCCTCTAAATCTAATTATATTAATTCAATTTTACATGCAAATGTTTATTTATCTTTGCATGCAATTTATGCATGCATAAATATTTTCTGCTATAATTTTATCGTAATAAATTAAATAAGTTGTAAAATTTTATACCTTTGTGATAATAATGCACATAAATGTGTATGTCTACGAAATGCTGCAGCTATTACAGGTGTTGGACAAAGTGCCGTATGTGATGGATTAATATTAACACGTAAATCAAGGAGTAATTTAACAAGATCAATATGTCCATTTCCGGCTGCTAAAGTTATCGCTGATGCACCAAGATATCTAAAATGATCTTTAAAAAAAAAAGCACCACGAATGATAATATCAAATGATACATCATGATATCTTAAATGATAACACATTGATTGCTTTTCTTCTTTTTTTTACATACTAATCAATATTAAATACTTTTCTACATTCTTATAGTAAATATATAATTATTAAAAACAATTGATTAAATTAATTATTAATTAAAAATATTTATATTTTATCTTTGAAATATATTTGGTGCCAAATTTTAATTTGTATTTTAAAAATACAAATTTGATATCAAAAAAAAAAAAGTTTTTATTAATGATATACGTTAATTTGTGATAATTTGCACCACGTTGAACAAGTATTCGAACAATATTAGCATGACCATTTTTTGCTGCATGATGAAGAGCTGTCATGCCAACCTGATTTGTTTTCTCAATATCAGCACCTCGATCAAGTAAATATTGTACCTGAAATATTGAAATCAAGTAAATTTTACCTGAAATGAAAAGAAACCGATCTAATATTGAGTTTTTTTTTCTAATTGCTCTACCTGAAATTAAAAAAACCCGATTTAATTTTGAATTTTTTTCTTTCAATGAAGAAATGAAGCAAAATTTATTTTTCCTGCACAATTAATTAATATAATTATGTATTATGAAAATTGATTAAATATTTGAAGTATATTGTTAGTATTTTTGGAAACAATATAATGTAATAATATTATTGACGGAAACTAACAATTCCAATATTTCCAGTTGCAGCAGCCATTTGTAATCCGGTAACATGATCATCATCAAATGTATCAACAAGGAAACCTGATTCTACAGCATGATGTACCTCTTCTAAATTCCACGTTTCACAAGCTTCAAGAAATTGCTCGATGGTAATCAAAGAATTCATCAACGTATTGAATATTTTCTTTTATTTTTATTCAAAATCATTATCATTCATTTATTATCTGAAAATTTTAAATATTCATTACTTTAAATATACATCATTTATTAATTAATTATTTTCAAAAAAAAAAGAACGATAATAGTAAATTTCAAATATGAATTACATGACGTATCTCATTAAATAATTATTTAAATATGAATTATATGATGCACCTCATTAATAAATTATTTAATGATAATATCCTAATTGCAACTTTTAAATTAAATTTTTGTCATTAAAAATTTTTTGAATTCCCATCTTTTTCCTTCTTTTCTTTTACTACTGCTACTACAATACTTAAATATGACAGAAATTTATTAAACATGCGAAATTCTCACAATACTATTATTGCTACTACTTAATACTATTACTCATAATACTGTTATTATTACAATACTGAAATATGAATTTATAAATTTAATAAACATGTGAAATTCTCACAATACTATTACTATTGCTACCACACTAGTGGTACTACAATACTGAAATATGAATTTATAAATTTATTAAACATGTGAAATTCTCACAATACTATTACTATTGCTACCACACTAGTGGTACTACAATACTGAAATATGAATTTATAAATTTATTAAACATCTGAAATTCACACAAATACATAATAAAAATAAAATAAATTTGAATTGACTAATAATCTAAATCATTGATTTTAGTCGACATTTTAATAGCATAGTTTTAACTCATAAAAAATTTTTATAATCAAATATTTTACTGATTAACTTAAACATTGAATAGTTATAGATGAATTGTTTTAATTGAAAAATTTACAATACAAATTGTTTTTTATACCGAAAAGTTGCAAAAAAAAATATTATTAGCAATACTGGAATTTATAAAATAATTAAATAACTAAATTTCGTTTCACCTTACGGGCATTTCTATCTCTTCCTTATAAAATGTCTAAAATAATTTGGGAAAAATTCAAAAATTGCTAATCAATTTATTATGCCTCGAAATAAATAAGCTTTAAAATCTTTCATGAAATTTGAATAAAAGAAAAAAGCGGAAATTAATTTTGATTAGTTTTAAATGCTTCCTTTATAAAAAAAACATCCCTTTTTTTGTTTTAAATTCATAAAACTAATTTCTAAAATTACGAAGTAAAATCGGATATTATTTGTTGAAATCAATTATTTTAAAATCTTTTTTTTTTTTAAATTTATCCTAGTTTAATTTATGAAATTCCATATATTTTATAAATTAATTAAAAAACAAAAATAATGAAATTAAAATAAAATGTATTTTTAAATCTTTTCCTTAAAATTCATCCTAATTTAATTTATTAAATTCATACATTTTATTAATTAATTAAAAAACAAAAATAATGAAATTAAAATAAAATGTATTTTTAAAATCCCTTTTTTTTTTTAATTTATCCTAATTTAATTTATTAAATTCATACATTTTATTAATTAATTATAAATAAAAGATAATTATAATAAAACAAATAGAAATGAAATGTTAAGAAAAAAAATTTCGTAAATTTAAGAAGGAAAACGGAGTAAGAAATCAGATAATATTACATTACAAAATAAACACACACACACACACACATACACACACAGAGAGATAGACATGTACACACAGAGAAGAATGTTATAAAACAAGAATTGATGATAAAATTGGTAAAGGATAGGGGGTGAATGATGGTGGTGACCTAAGATGACATCGTTGTGATATGATGATGCCTTTGCTCCTTCTCATTTCTTCAAATCACTACTTCCTCTTTATTCTTTCCTAACAATTTTTATTATACAGAAAAATAAGAAACTTTTTTTTTAAAGTTTTAAAAATGACGAATATTTTCATTATATCGCTCGTTTCAATTGCTTATATAATATAAAATATTATAATAAACATATTTTCAAAATATTTTTATATTATACTTTAAATTATTCGTATAAACAAGTTTTAATTATACAAATAAACAAAAAAAAAACGCTTTTTAAATTTTAAAAATCAATGCGACAAATATTTTCATTCATTTCAATTATTTATATAAGCAGGTATACGGTACTGTTATAAATGTAGTTGTATCAAACCTGATCGATGCCATCATTGTTCTGTTTGTGGTCATTGCGTTTTGTAAGTTTTGCTTTATATATTCATAAACTGCAACTAGCAAATCTT